TTTTAGCAAGAAGGGGTGCTATATTTTATCAAAAGCTTTTTCCATGTCTACTGTTATAATCATGTAGTTTTTGTTTTTATGTCTGTTGATGTATTTAATTACGTTGATGTGGTCTTGCGAATGTTAAACCAGCCCTGCATCCTGGGTTTGTAGACTACTTGATCTTGGTGGATGGTTTTTGAGATGTGTTGTTGGATCCGGAAAAAATGCTCAGCCTCACTAGTCATCAAAGCAATACAAATTAAAGTCACACTGAGATACCACCTAACTCCAGTCAGGATGACCATCATCAATAACTTAGAAAACAACAGGAGCTGGAGAGGATGTGGCAGAAAGGGAACACTTCTACACTGTTGGTAGGAGTGTAAATTAATACAACCTCTGTGGAAAAGTTTGGTGATTCCTAAAAGTTCTAAAAATCAACCTTCCTTACAACCCCACAAACCTCCTACCGGGAATATATCCAGAGGAACTCAAATCACTCTATGAAAAAGATACCTGCACATGTATGTTTATTACAGCATTGTTCACAATAGCAAAAACATGGAATCAACCGTGCTGCCCATCGAAAGAGGACTGGATAAAAAAAATATGTTACATATACACGATGGAATATTACGCAGTCATAAAGAAGGACAGAATTATGAACTTCACAGCAACCTGGATGGACTTAGAATCGATACTACTGAGTATCACAAAAACAACTGAGTACCACATGTTCTCACTTATTAGTGAACCTTGAACAATTATCGTAATACTATAAGAAAAGGATTGGCAGTAGTGGGAATCTGCCAGGGAGGGAGGGCACACTTCATCAACAAGGGTACATGCATAATGAACATTTGTATACCTAACCCTGACCTGTACCCCACATCTTTAAAGTTTAAAAAAAATAAAATAAAAAAGAAGAACAAATTCATGCCCTTCGCAGCAACATGGATGCAGCTAGAGACCATCATACTAAATGAACTATCACAGAAGCAAAACTGAATAACTCATGTTCTCACTCATAAGCAGGCCCTGATCACTGGTCACATGAGCAGAAGGGTAGATCAGCAGATACTGGACACTGCTTGGGAAGGGAGGGAGGGAGAAGAAATGGGAACCACGTGGCAACACACTGAGTACCAGGTCCACTATCAGGGAAGCCCAGACTTCACTTGCATGCAACTTACTTCTGTAATAAGTTCTCACTGATACCCACAACTCTAAAATAAAAAATATGTATAATTTTAAAAATTAAAAAAAAAATTTAAAAAAGAAAAACATAGGACAAAATACAACACTCTTTCATGATTTAAAAACACTCAACAAACTAGGAACATGACAAAGGATACCTATGAAAAACTCACAAATAGAATTATACTCAATGATGAAAGACTGAAAGAGCTCCTCCTAAAATCAGAAACAATTAAGAATGAATGTCTAGTCTCATCACTTCTATTCAATATTGTGCTAGAAATCCTAGTCAAAACAATTAGGCAAACAAAAAGAATTAAAAGACATCCAAATTGTAAAGGAAGAAACAAAACTATTGTCATCGGCAGATGACAGAATCTTATACACAGAAAATCCTTAAGCACCCACAAAAGAGCCTCAAGAGCTAATAAACTTAAACTAGGCAAAGTTGAAGGAAATAGAATCAACAATGCAAAAAAAGAGTTCTATTTCTAATCACTAGCAATGAACAATCTTAAAAGGAAATGAAGAAAACAGTCCCATTTACAGTAGCATCAAAAAAGAATAAAATACCTAGGAATAAATGTACCTAAGCTGGTGCAAGATTTCTTCACTAAAAACTATAAAACATGTTTAAAAGAAATAAAGTCTTAACTAAACGTACAAGCATCCCACCGGGGCGCGGTGGCTCATACCTGTTATCCCAGCACGCTGGGAGGCCAAGGCGAGAGGAATGCCTGAGTCAAGGGGTTTGAGATCAACCTGGGCAACTCGGCAAGACCTTGTCTCTACAATAAATCAAAAAAATTAGCCAGGCGTGGTGGCACACGCCTGTGGTTCCAGCTACTTGTGAGGCTGAGGTGGAAGGATTGCCAGAACCCAGCAGGTCAAGTATGTGGTGGCCATGAGCATGCCACTGCACGACAGCCTGAGCTACACAATGAGACTCCGATTCAAAAAAAAAGAACAAAATGTTTAAAAGAGTGATTTAAATGTACAAGTATCCCATTTTCACTGATTTAAAGACTGAATATTGTTAAGATAGCAGTAGTCCCCAAAGTGATCTACAGAATCAAGCAATCTCTAACTTCCTTTTTTGCAGAAATGTGTAAACTTGTGCTAAAATTCATATGGAATTACAAGGAACACTGAGTAACCAAATAATTTGGAAAAGAAGAACAAAGTTGGAGGTCTCACATCCATCAATTTCATCACTTTCTACTAACAGTAGAAATAGTAAGCAAACAGTATGGTATGACATAAGCACAGACATATAAATCAACCAAACAGAAGTGAAAATTCAAAAGTAAACCCATACATCTATGGTCAATAGACTTTTGAGAAAGGTGCCATGCTCATTCACTGAGTAAATATTACTCTCTTGAACAATTAAATAGGCGCATTCAAAAAAATAAAGGTAAACTCTTACCTCACACCATTTACAAAAATTACCTGAAAATGAATCAATGACCCAAGTACAAATGCTAAAACAATAAACTCCTGGAAGAAATCATAGGAGCAAATCTTCATGACCTGGATTTAGCAATGCATTCTTAGATATAACACCAAAATAATATAGATAAAATGGACTTTATCAAAATAAAAAAGCTTATAAGCATCAAGACATTATCAAGAAAATTAAAAGATAACCCATAAAACAAAATTAGGTATTGGTAAATCATATATATAATAAGGGCTTCATATCCTGAAGCACTCTTATAATTCAACAACAAAAAAGACAACCCAATTAAATAAAGAGCAAAAAGATCTAAATAGACATTTCTCCAAGGAAATTATACAAATGGCCAATAAGCACATGCAAAGATGCTCAATATCACTAGTTATTAGGGAAATGCAAATTAAAAATACAATGTGACACCATTTCATGTCTCTCTAGGATGGGTATAATAAAACAAAACAATACACGGAAAATAAGTGTTAGTGAAATTGTAGAAAACTGAAAACTTCACATACTGATGGTGGGAATATAAAATTGCATAGCCCATATAGAAAGCAATTTGGCAGTTCCTCAAAAAGTTAACACAGAATTACTACATGACTCTCCAATTCCACTCCTAAGTATACACCCAAGAGAGTAGAAAACATACAACCATACAAAAACATGTACACAAATGTACATTATAGCATTATTCATAGGGCCCCAAAGAGGAAACAACCCCAAAGTCCATTGACTGATGAACAGATAAACAAAAAGTAGTACATCCATACAATGGAAGATTATTTGGCCTTACAGAGGAATAAGGTGCATGTTATAAGATGCAGAAACCCTGAAAACACTGTGCTAAGTAGAAAAAAAAAAACAGACACAAAAAGGACACATACTATATGATTCTATTTACATGAAATGTCCTCAACCCACAAATCCATAGACACAAAATGCAGATTGGCAGTTTTGAGCGGCAGGGGAGAGGGGGCCACTAGGAGTCACCACTTAAAGAGTACAGGGTTTGTATTTGTGTGGGTGATGAAAACGTTCTGGCATTCGATAGTGGCAGCAGTTGCACATTGTGAATGTAGTTAAAGCCACTGAATCAGTACACCTCAAAAGAGTAAAAGTGGTGACATTTATGTTGTTTGAATTGTACCTTAATTTAAAAAGAAAAGAAAAACTCTATGAGATGAATAAATGTTATTTTACATTATTAATGAGACAAAGTGGTAAAGTCACTTGCCATAAATCAAATTAGAACCAAACACCTCTAAAACCTTTCCATCTATCCAACCACTAAGCTACAACCAAAAACAAAAAAACAAAAACAAACAAAAACTTCAACCCTAAGTCCCTAATGGATTTTTGTCTGTGTCTGGCGCGGCCTCCCGAGGCTTGAGAGGGCAGCTGCCAGAGTAGGAGGACTCGGTCAAGGGAAAGGGCAGAGGTCCCCGGACACTCACCGCTCAGACCTCGCAAGCACCACCGCCTCCGCCGCCGACGGGCGCGCGTGGACCCCGGCGCGGAGCCTCCGCCCAACGCCCTCCCCAACGCCCGCCAGAGGCGCAGACCCGGGCCGGAGTCGGCGGCGCGCGGCGGGGCGTGGGGGGGG